TGGCAGCTGCCACCATCGCCGCGGCACTAAATGTTGAACCACCACCCCCGTTCTGGGGTGGCACCGTGCTATGATAGCCGGATGATAACACGGGTTGCACCCCAACGCCGATCGCCGCCGTTGTTGATGGTTTTTTTGAAACTAGGTTTGATGAAAACGACAAACGCGTGTCGCGTATTACAGACGTTTCAATAAAAACCGAGATACTGTAAAAAAAGATTTTTTAAAATTAACTTTTATAAAGATTATATATTTTAGAATATAAATATATTTTAATAAAACTCTCAAGAGATGCTCTCGAAAATTATTTTTAATAGATAATTATGTTGAAAATATCAATCATTCTTAGTTACTCTACTAGTTAGAATAATTACTCTTAATGTCTACTAGTGAAAAATAATTCTTAAGAATTTTATTTTTAAATTTATTTGCATTCTTATGATTTTAATATAATTATCAAAAAAAATGCATATATGCAAAAAAAAATAAATTAAAAAAAAAATTGTTATTAAATTTAATTTAATTAATTAATTTAATCATATTAAAATATAAATTAATGAATAGATGATGAGCAGAAATAAAAAATAGACATATAAGTTAGATTCATGTTTGAATTTTTTTGTCCAATTGTATTATAATTTCGTTCTTTATTTTCCGCGATGCAGCAATAATGTACATTGGTTATACATGATCATTGAATTATTTGAGAAGATCATCAATTTAAAATTACTATTATTCAAGACATACAATTATCAACTTTAATTATCAATTTTAATATTAATTTATTAAATTAATAACTATCATAATTAGTTATTTTATAAAATCACTTAATTAATTAATTAAAGTTCCAAAAACATCTAAATTGCAAATCATTTTGAACAATTGCAAAATAGAAATATGAAAAGTGTAATCTTTGAGATACAACTATCTCAGTTTATTTAAAATACTAAATATGTAAAAGTATTGTAGTAATTAATATCATTATAATAAAAAAAAAAAAGAAAAAATGAAATAAACCAAAATAATATAGCCCATAATATATACCATAATATTTAAGCATTCACCATTTTAATTCTATATAATTCAAAACAATTTTGTTAACATTAAAAAATTGAAGTTATTTATTTTTATTTTTAATTTATTTCTTGTTATTTTATATCAAATAAGAAAGAATATATATAAAAAAAAAAACAGGAAATCAAACCGAATCTTTTTTTTAAATTTTTTTTCTAATTTTCTTCTAAAATCGATTTACCTGTCGCTACCATTCCACCAGAGTCTTTTCTTATTTTACAAGCACAAAATTACGAGATATAGAAAAGGAAATCGGATGCTTTGTTGTGCCTTTCTATCGATACATTCCAAGGCCCGAACATTGTTCGTTCTTTCAAACAGCTTTCATTCTCGTTTTAAGTCGCGTATACCCCAAAAGATCGAAAGACAGAATTCTGTGCGCACCGTTCATATTCCCAGCTGGCCAAGGCCCCTATTGGTTTTCTGTGGGAAATGCACGTGCTCGCTATTCACACACTGCTGCTCTCTGCGCTTATAATGTCGTTCTGCTACAAACACCGTTTGCCATCGTGTCCCGGGAACCAATGTGCTTTGCACGATCATTTTCAACTTGTTTGATACCCAGATGGGAAAAATCTCGATGATATCGCGAATCTTCTAACTTCTCTGTAAACGGAAATATCACGGCTCAAGTTCAGAATACCTATTTAATTTTTATTTTTCTATAAATATTATTTGTTTGATAATATTTTTTGCTATTTTTTTAATTTTTATTTAGTAATCTACAATTATTAATTAATAACTATAATTATTTATAAATATAAATTTATATTAAAATATATAAAATTTATATTAAATATAATATATAAATTATTATTATAAATTTTAAATAATTTTCAAAACTTTGTATGTTCGAATTTTTATATTTCGTATATATAATTTCATTTCGATTCATTTCGATATATTTCTACTTTCATATTTTATCATATGAAATTAGAATTTATGATAAAAATTTCTGACTATAACTTTGACTATTAATTTAATGAAAGGCTTCAATCACGAATTGATATGAAATTTGGAAAAATAGATTTTAAATTTAACATTTTTTCAACTTCGAGTATTTATGTTTTTTGGAGTTTTTTAAATAAAAAAAACTTTCGATATGATATATTAAAAACTATATATGCAGCTAGTATTATGGAATTAAATACTGTCTAAAATTATTAATAATAATAATTATTATTCTATATATGTCAAATATTGAATAGATGATAACGTCTAACTACATATAAATTTTAATATCTATAGAATATTCCATTTATTTATCACGATTATATTAATTCACTACTTCATAAAAAATCACTAATTTTTAAAAAATTAAATATATTTGATTTATTAAATGTCAAATACAAACGAGAATAAAAAAAATCAATTTATATATAAAAATATTCATACATGTGTAATTATTGTTATTATGTTTTGAATAGAAATATATACATTTGTATATTGTTTTTTTAAAATCAGAATTTACAAGAATTTAAAAATTCCCATGGAAGAATAAATTTTTATAATTTTTCATGTAAACAATTGACATAATTTTATAACAAAGATATATAATATGGAATTCAATGTATAATATTTGAAAGTTTTTTATTCTAATCTTTTTCTTTTATATTTTATCTTTTATTCCTTATCTTAATCCTCCAGATTTCGTATCGATCGGTCATTAAAATTTTTTAGAATTTTATTAAATTTTTAATTATTATTTTTAATTATATATGTGTTTAATATTCTATATTTTTTATTTTACTTATAATAATTGAAATAATTGTTTGATTGTATAAAATTATAGGATACATATATTTTACAAATAAGTTGTAATATAATAATTAATATTATTGTTAAAGAAATGCTTTATTTTATTTCCAAATCTGATTAAAAACTTCCACTAATAATTCATTTAATATATCATTTAGAATAATAATGATACTTGAAGGAAAATTATATAAAGACTTTTATATTAACTATTAATATTAATATTATATAAATACTATTATATTAAATAATATTATATAAAAGAAATGAATAAAGATATGACGTTTCTTTATTATTCATGTTTGAAACTTGGAAAATTATATGAAAGAGTGCATTATATTTTTCGAAATTATCTTTCATCATATTATATTATCATATGCACATCAAAATTTTTGTGCATGTGCATGTAATAGTAAAATAACTGAAAATATTTATTTATTTAAAATAAATATTTAAATTAATAATTGAGAAAAATAAATATATTTCTGTTTTTTGACTTTATACTTTAAAATGTTCTAATATTTCCAATTGTATACAAATTTAAATAGATTATTTTCACACATTCATTACGATTATTTGTTCAATTTTCTTAAATTACTTGTTTAATTAAAAAATTTAACATATTTAAAATTGTTATATGTATTGTTATACATGTTTTATTATTTTTATTACATTTGTAATTTATAATATTAATTATATTAATTGTATTAATTTTTAATACAATAAATATTTTTATATGAAACATAATATAATAGAATTTTTACTTTTAGAATACTTACTGATTAGAATCTGTTTCAGTAGCACAAATTACATTACTGATTTTGATAAACTTATTTACGGAATAAACAATCATTTTATAGTTTTAACAAAACACAAATTTATGGATATTTGCTTTTTATTGAATATATTTATAAAATAACAATTTTACTTTTTAACATATAAAATTATGATAAATTAATAATTGAAAATTGTAAAAGTAATATCTATTATATGATTTGTTTTTTAAAATATTTTACAATAAAATAAAATAATAAATATAAAATAATTATAATATCTTATAATATTACTATACATAATTACAATATTTCAATAAAGATATTTTCAATTTTATTTAAATTTATTCAATATTTATAAATATCTAAAAGAATAATTAAAATTATTATATTTCTATCAATAAATTTAAAAGAATTTTAGAATTTTATATTAATAGAGCAAGAATTTATATCAAATATTGAAAGATATATTCATTGTTGAAAATTATTATAATTAATAGAACGAAAGAAAATTTTTTATTGTCAAAAGTAAAATAAAAAAAAGTTATCAATAATCATTTGCAAAATAATTTTCTTTTATGCTCATTTGATTTTATTAGTTTAAAATCAACGGAAAATAGGATATCTGTTCTTATTTCACTAAAATGAAAGACGACTTTCTTCCGAGATGAGATATTTTCGATTAATAGTGCATTAAAAAAATTTTAAATAATAGCCTTTTAAAACATTCAAATTACAATACATTAATATTGTACATTATATTAATATAATATAATATTAATTATAATATTAATTATATTATATACATTAATTATAGATATATACATATATGTATACGTGTTAAAATATATGATATACATAAGATATTCATCAAAGAATTAATAATATTAAAAGATATTGTTAAAATCGCTATTTAAGAAGCTTTTTAATTCTACATATATGAATTAAAAAAAATCATTCCAATATAATTTAATTTGTGTTATAATAAATATAATTAAATATTATTAAAAATATTTAATTTTTATATTTTCAGTTTTATAAGTTATATATTATAACAGTTATATATTATAACAGTTATATATAAATAAATAGCATATATAGACAATTACAATTATTCAATATTTATATTGTATAATTGAATATTTATATTCAATAATTAATATTGTCATAAAATTTAGCGAAAAGATATTGCAAAGATATTATAAAAGTCAAATAAATGACTTAAAGAATATCTTCATATATAATAATAAATAATGCAATTGTTTATCTATTTTTATTTGTTCATTATTATTATTTTTTTATTAGAATTCCAAGCATCTTATGCATGTGTGTATTAATATATACATATATTATATATATACATATATAGTATATATAGAATGAACATGAAAATTGACGTCAAATTCAACTTTTCTTTTAAACTTGTATTGAATATAATTCTAAAAGAAAAAAAGGATATACAAAAAAAAAAGAGAGCAAAAAAAAGGAAAAAATTAATGCCTTTTTTCTTCAGCAGATTATTCTCTCTTATTCTGATTGTATATTCCTTTTCTCCTTTTTATCTTGCCCTCTGAACAGCAATCGAGCAAGAGTAGAACTCTCTA